GAGTTGAACTACATTTGTGGCTCTTTTCCAACTCTTCTATTTTAAGAGTTTATCGGTCTATGATGAAGGCTTTATACACCCAGCATCTTTAAGTGGGTATGATGCATCCCACATGCGTGTCTTCTGCCTTGGTGGTACCTGCATCCAACTGTCATTTAATTGAGATTTCCCTGATTCACAGATACTGCAGTGAGGTGGGGGAAATCTAACATAAAACCAAATGTTACCAAATGGTGAGCATACTGAAGTGCATTGTGTGGGCATGTATTTTTACCCCTGTGATGTGATGGTTTGCTAGGTGCCATTTGTCCCCACACCCCCTTTCTGTTGGTGAGATGCTTTAGGTGAGTTGCTGGTGGCAGCAGTCATGACACACACCTAAAAAAACCAGTCTACTGTTTTGTGCATATTGGAAAACTTTGTATTTCCAAAATACATTTTAAAAATGGCTGCCAGCACAGGTAGTCAAATGCCCTCTCAGCAAAGCTCAGGGAGGGTGGGCTGGAACCCACACTTTTTACAGAAAGTATGTTCAACACACTGTTCTGCCAGAAAACTCACATCCATTTTTAAAAAGAAATTGGCCATGTACAAAGGCAAACAAATACTTCCATGTGTGCCCACAATGGACCTCAGATTTCTGGCACTCAGGGAGTGTGGGAAGTCCTGAGTGAGGGGACAATAGCCTCCAGGCAAGCACAACCTACTAGTGTGCTGGGAAACATTGAGGAGTTCAAGTAAAAGTGCTCATGTCAACAAATGTGAACAAAAGCCCACATGGAAAACATGGGATCTGTGTGACCCATGTGCATGTTATCACTCTGGTGTACCCACAGCCTAACACAAACTCCTGGATAGAGTTCTTCTGGGGCAGAGCAGGAGGGAATGAAGCCAGACCCAGAGATGTCTGGGGGAGGGTTTTACATAGGAAGCTGACGGATGCAGGGATTTTCATAAGGACAGTTCTCAATGAAGAATCTCTGGGTGCAAGATGTGGTACTGCGTCAAAAGATGAGATTTCCTTATCTGGTCTGGAACAGCAAGGCAAAGAACTGGGTGAGTCACCACTGGGAAGCAAAGAGCCAGGAGCCAATCACAAAGACACACCCTATGTTGGAAGAAGATAGGGGGGAAGGCAAAGGTGGAGCAGAAAGGAAGAGAAGCTGGAGGAAGGAGTTGTGGAAGTACAGGAGTGTGTGGTGGAACAGCGTGGGATAGCCAAGGGACCTCTTGCAGAGGTGCAAGAGATCACTCCATCCATCTGCTGTGACAGGACCATCTCATCAGACCTCTTCTCCCTCCATTGTCACTTGGGGGCAGCCATTCCATCAAACAGTCTTCATGGGAGACACGGGAAACACAAGGCTCTTTGCATCCACTTGGCTGGTGGTCCAGTGCCATTAGGCACTTACTGCCTCTGAGCTGCGCCACTGGCCAATAGAAATTGGTGCCCCAGTTCTGATTTTCCTCTTTCCTCCTTGTCCCTTTGTGTGTTGTGTTTTTCTTCAATTGTAAGCCTGAGTGGGGAGCATCTTCTGTGATTTTATGTAAGCTGCTCTGGGAACATTTATAATCTGTTCTTCAAATGCTCTAAATAAATAAACAATTACAGTAATAAAGCACCTGGGTTTAGACACAGGAGACACTCTGAATGCTTTATTCTTTTGTGTATGTTACTCTATTAATCCTGTTACACCTATAGCTGAATAAAACTTTTAAACTATTGGACTTGGACTGATCTATCACCACTGCCTGTTCAGATGGTGGGGAGGCATCAATGGACTCCAGGTTCAACCTTCAAGCAGGGCAGCCAACCATTGGAGGGTGTTGGGGTCACATTATATCTCACTGGAAGTTCTACTCTTCTGGAGGCTGCCTAAGGGGACCCAAACATCCATGTTACTTTGGTCACTGGGACACATGTAAGGTTTTACACTTAGGCAGAAATAACCAGCTGCACAAATACAAAATGGGGGACACCTGGGTTGCCAGTAGTACATGTGAAAAGGATCTAGGGATCTTAGCAGACCACAAGTTTAGAATGAGTCAACAATGTGATGCGGCTGCAGCAGCAAAAAAGAAAAAGAAAGAAAAGAAGAGGGGGGAGATGATGCTATTCTAGGCTGCATCACCAGTAGTATCCAGACTGAGGGAAGTACTGCTCTATTCTGCCTTGCTCAGACCACACCTGAAGTCTTGTGCCTGGTTCTGGGTGCCACAATTTAAGAAGGATATTGACAAACTGGAATGTGTGCAGAGGAGGGCAACCAAGATGGTCAAGGGTCTGGAAACCAAGGCGTATGAGAAATGGTAAAGGGAACTGGATATGTTTAGCCTGGAGAAAAGGAGACTAAGAGAAATGATAGCCACCTTCAAATATCTAAAGGGTATCACATGGAAGATGGAACAAGTTTGTTTTCTCCTGGTCCAGAGGGTAGGGGTCAAACCAATGGCTTCAAGTTACAAGGAAGGAGATTCCGACTCCACATCAGGAAGAACTTTCTGACAGTAAGAGCTGTTTGACAGTGGAACAAACTCCTTCGAAAGGTGGTGGACTCTCCTTCCTCGGAGGTTTGAAAGCAGAGATTGAGCGGCCATCTGTCATGGCTGCTTTAATGGAGATTCCTGCACTGCAGGGGGTGGGAATAAATGATCCTTGGCATTCCTTCCAACTCTAGACATTTCTTCCAACCTCTGGGCATTTTTTTTTACCTGAGAACCTGGATACGGAATGTGAACCCCCTGGAAAGAGGAAAGAAAGTGACCAGATGAGAGCTGACTGTCCCCAGTCTTGGGGCCAGAGGGTGAGGATCCCTGTAAGCGGAAGGATGAGGCAGCACAGCGCAGTCACTTTCTTTCGCTCTAACCCAGGGCTTGCTGCTCTGTAGTGCTGTCTTTGTTATATTGCTCCATTATAGCAGATACAATAGATCCATTAGGCATATTTAATATCAGAAGGGATCATCAGGGACGGGAAGAGGGTACTCCAATTGCCAGCCCTGGCCATGATGATTTGGTGGGCAGGCCAAGAAAGTGGGCAGACCTGTAACACAGCCCCCCCCCCCAGCTTCTCTCCATTTTAAAGACCTCGTTGCCACATGAACGTACCGGTGAGCATTGAAGTACTGCTGTTAAATGCCAGTCCTGTGCATGGTCCAACAGCAGCTGTTGAGGAGGTTGCTGACCTGTCTTGCACTGACAAGATCTGGCTGGACCAGGCAAGCTGGATTCGTGGGACAGCATCTTCCACCTAGACTCCCTGACCAGGAAGCCATTTTTCCTGGAAGAGGCTATTGTAATGCCAATCTCCTTTGCAGGACTCCTTCTCTGTCAATGTATTGCCCATGCTGCTGCCAAGTTAGGAGTCTGCCTGAATTGGCAGAGGTGGCTTCAGATTCGGTGTTTCAGGCTGTCAGGCATTTGGCTCTTGGGGGCCTTCAGCACCACCAAGCACCCCCACACCCCCGGCGATCCCAAAGCATTGTGATCCCTATGCCTGTGGCAGATCCCATTGGACTTGGGCTTCTCTGCTGCATGATGGCAATCCAAGAATGGGCGAAGCAGCTGTCGGTGTGGCTGGGCGAGGTCTGGCCATCCCGAGGTCCCGAGCCCCGGCCTGCTTGGCGAGGCTGTCCGGTCCGGGCTCTCCAGGGCCCTTGTGGGCTTTGGCTTTCCTGCCGGCGCAGCTGGAGATTCTAGCGAAGCTCTGCTCCTGCTCTGGAACACAGAGTCCGAGACGCCCACCCTCCCGGCCAAGCGGCGCCCGGAGCCTCCTCCCAGGGGCCCTTCGGGGCCGTCCAGCTTAGGAACAGACTCGGTGCCCGGCGGCAGCGGCAGCAGCAGATCCCGGAGGGTCCTTCGGGTCGGGCCTCCTGCTCGCCCAGGGGAAGCCCCCCAGCAGCGGCGCTCCTTCGGCCGGAGCGAGCGCCACCCCCTCCCGACGCCCGCCTGCCCCTCGGAGTTGGCCCCCACCTCCCAGGCCACCATTCACACGTTCTGGAGAGGGACGCGCATCTCCCGGGAGACGAGGCAGCCCCGGCGCCGCCCTCTCCTCTCTCCTCGGGGCGGGGAGAGGGCGGGGCCGGGGAGGAGGCGGACCTGGGCGCCAATGGGCGGGCGCCATGCAAATAGCCTGCTCTCCGGGACGCCCCCAGGGCAGCCGAGAAGAGCGCGCTAGAGCGGCGGCAGAGCTCCGGAAAGGCTAGAGGGGACCGCTCGGTGCTCTGGCCGGGCCGCTTCCGGAGGGTCGGGAAAGGGAGCCCGGGCGCGGGAGGCCAGGCCGGGGGGGGGGGGGCCGGGCAGACCTTCCCCGCGAGCGGAGCCGGACTTCCTCTGTTATTCCCGGTGCTTCCCAGGTGGCGAGAGTGTCACTTCCAGAATGACAGAGAGCGTCACGCCTTGCCCGGGGTCTCCCTGCGCGCCCGGGCCAGAGTCCGAGGCCTCCTCAGAAGAAGCTCCAGGCAGGCGGGGATTTCTCTTCTGCCCCCCCCCCCAGCAGAAGAGGCGTCGCTCTTGGCTTTCCTTGCCTGAGGCTCAGATGCCACCTGCTCCGGTGGTGCTTCAGTACTTACACTCTGTTGGGCAGATTGCACAACTTGCAAAGCAACAAAGACCACCCTCTGCCAAGGTGGGAAAGTTCCCGCAGAGCCGCTCAGGGAATTGCATCAATGCTGGGGGGAAGTCAGCCATTCCTCAACTGTAAGGTGCTGAGATACTGACCTGCACTGGTCTCCTCTCTCAGTAACCCCTAGCCCCACACTCACACTTGAGGTGACATCCATCAATTGCCTTTGCACTGAATGATGTGTCCAGTGGGGAGGCCAAGCCTTCCATTTCCACCCCTCAAAACATGCTGGAGCACAGGTGCAATGGAGATCAGCAGAGAGAAGAAATTGTGAGACAGGTGCCAATTCCCATCACACGGAGAGGTTGGGTTGTGCAATTAGAGTCTGTGGCAGAAGGACAACCCTCTTTGATCCAGATTATCTGCACCTGCCCCAGACGGGAGATTATGCTTTATTTTGACCTTTTCAGAGCTGGCTTTTCACAACTAGGGATTGTCATCGTTTCCAGTGGACAACTGCCCAATCGAGGCAGGTCTGGTGAAGCTGAGATGGCTTCATCCAAAGCATTGGGGAGGGTTCTCTGCATGCTTAGTGTTGGCTGGTATATTCTTTCTCAGACTGTTCATCTGCACCCAGGTGAGTTTTTCCAGCCCCAGAAACCATGGCAGGTATGGCTGACATCTCATGTTACTAAGGTTTGCTGTTATTGTTGTGGCAAAATCCTGGAAACTGCAGTTACTTAACTTTGTCTCCCTTCACGATAGCTACTGCAGGCATTTACTAAGAGGTTTTGCCCTTTTGTTGCTTATGGGAGGCTCTTTGGCGTTGCATTTCTAGGTGCTGCAACATATAGCCAAGATAGGCAGGGCTGGAAAATGCCTTCCTTGCCATCACCTCTGTCTCCTGTTTATTCTCTTTATAGCCTGCTTTTTTATTCATAGCGGGACTCTCAAGGGAGTTAATAAATACAGTAATTGTGTTAGTCTAGTTAGTATAAAAAGATGGACACAGTGACGCTCTTCAAGCAATCAGCAGGCAGACATGCAGCTCCTTGCCTCCTCCCAGCACACCTGAGCCCAGGGCCATAACTGCAGGCTGACAAGGGGAGGGGAGCCATTTTTCGATCTCTGGATGCAGAGCCAAGTCTCCCAAAAGGGGCTGCAGTCAGACATCACAAGGAAGCCTGGCTAGTCTTGGAGGGGAGGAGACAAGTCCTCCCCCCCCCCAAGCTCACCTACTCCAAGGTTGTGAGGAGCAAACTGGAAGCTTTTGCTCCTTTTACTTAAGCACAGTTAAGGATGTGGCTATTTTAAAATTTCCTTTGTTGAAACAAGTCTGCTTCATAAGCCATCACTTGGAGTTAACTTGTTTCAAACAAATCTCGGTTATGAATAACCAGTTTGTCAGTTCTGAACGACATGATAATTAACCAAAATGGTAAGCAAAAGCTTCTGAGCCCCCCCTCAGGACTGTGCCAGAGAAGGAGAAAGGAAGGCTAGTGCAGGAGCCCTGGAGAGGCCAGGCTTGTTGCCACCACAATGGAAATGCTTTAGCAACCATCGTTTGTGGTCTGAGGAAAAAGGAAGGCCCAGCATGCTCCACTTCTTCCAGATGGATCAGGCCAGCTGATTTGATTGGTTTGTTGACTTTGTGGTGGTGGTCCATGTTGCAGCTGCCTTTTGCCTCATGGCATGTTGGCATTCAGCCAATGGATCACGGACAGCAGAATCCAGCAAGACCAAGACTTGTCATCAGCAGCAGGAGGAGGAAGACATTCACTGACAAAGCTGGAACGTAACATATGGACATAAGGATATTAGAAGGGCCTGCAGGACCAACAACCTGCTCTCACACTGGCCAACTGGAAGCCGGTAGGAAGCCCGGAAGCAGGAGCTGCATGGAAGAGCCCTAGTTGCATTTGGGATTCCCGGCAGCTGAGATTCAGAGGCAGGCTGCTTCCCACAGTGGAGGTAGAGCAGAGCCATCAGGGCAAGGAGCCACTGACCCTCCAGGAATTTGTCAAATCCTCTTTTAAAGCTGTCCAGGTTGGTGGCCATCCCTGCCTCCAGTGGGAGGGAGTTCCTAAGCTGAGTGAAGAAGGATTTTCTTTTCTTTGTCCTGAATCTTCCAACACTCCGTTTCATTGGAGTGTTGGGAGAGAGGGGAAAAAGCTTTCCTCTGTCTACCTTCCCCATGCCATGCATAAGTTTATAAACTTCCAAGTCAATTGATAAAGTAAGTTATGGTTTATGGTAAAATTTGTAAAGTTTTTTTTCTTTGTGAAAAATTAATTAAAAATATTTTAAAAGCAAACCAACTTCTATGCTACCCGGAAGGCGTGAGGATCACTGTGTTCCACAGAACCTTTGAGGCCCAGATATATGCAGGGACAAGGATGCCTCTCCTCCCCTCACTCCTTCCCCAGATTGATGAGGGGGGAGCAGTCTCTTTCCTCTCAGCTCAGTGCTAGGACTGGGATATGGATTGCTCCCTCTCCCCTCACAGCCCAGGATCAGGGATCCCTCCCCTCCAGGGACCCTCAGGAGTAGCCAGACACATTCGTTAACAAAAATTCACATAGGCTTTTAAAAGGACATTGTTTCAATGGTGTTTTTGCACCCCAGGCTCCTTTGGGAGAAAGGGTGGGATATACGTTGAATGAAAGTAATGATACTATACTTAGAAATGGCAGAAATGGACAAATCAACTGAACTGATTCAATGGAGAGCAGGGAGGCTGTGACATATTCACAGTGTTGAGAGAGACAGGCCTGTTTTGTCGATTATTGGAATGACGGAAATGGAACTGTCATATAATAAACTAGTATGCTGATGTGACCCACACAAAGACACTGGACATGCTGGATATACTCCATGGGTCACTTCTCTCTGCTGCAGGGACAGGAGAGGGGGGGGGAGTCCATGGGGCTTCTCAGACTCACCTGCACCAGAGCACTGGGAAGCCCTCAGGCCCTGCAGGGCCTCCACAAATGGTTCCCCCAGCCAGGAGATGGCCGTCCTCCTCGCCCCAACTGGCACAATGGCAACGGTGGAGTCCCTGAAGATCAAATCTTTCCCTTTGAAGGCTGTAGAGTTGAACATTTGGAATCCATTTTCATTGTGGTCACCAAAGAAGTCCTGAAAGCCAAGCAGAGGTCCCTGGTTACACCCAGGAGCACCTCTCATTTTGGAGCGGGGGGGGGGGGCTGAGGAGCTGCTGCCTGCCAGAGTTTGCAGAGAGCAGGCAGGGGGGTTCCCAGCACCTTGTGATTCCCAGCACCAGAGCGGGGAGAAGCAAGAAGTTCGCTACACTGGGTTGCCTTGTTTGGCTCACTATTAACTTAATTCCAAAAGGTGAATATGCTTAGAAATTATGCTTCACAACTAGATGGACTAGAAGAAATTGGGGGAGCTCTGACCTTAAGCAAACACTGGCTGATTGCTCTGTTACTGCCATTGTAGTGCTAGGCTTACACCATTTTAAAATGATACTGTTCTAAAAAATACTATGCTGCATTGCTTTAAGTTGTTTTGTTTTCCTCTAACTTCAAAATACCATTATCTTCTGAGAAGATAACATGCTTTCAGTGAAGCTTTGTACACCAATAAATCGCTTTCTATTATCATCTTGAGTGTGGTTTTTATCACTGGCCGTTTAGGGAACTTTTTAATGTTTGATGTTTTTTCTGTTTTTAATCTGTTTGGAGCCACCCAGAGTGGCTGGGGAAAACCAGCTAGGTGGGCGGGGCATAAATAAATTCTTCTTCTTCTTCTTCTTCTTCCTCCTCCTCCTCCTCCTCCTCCTCCTCCTCCTCCTCGTCCTCGTCCTCCTCCTGCTGAGGACCCAGTGAAAATTTGTGCGCCAACCAGGAACTGCTCAGGTAAGCAACTAACACTTTTAGTGGGTTACAGGTAGGTAGCCGTGTTGGTCTGCCATAGTCAAAACAAAATAAAAAAAAATTCCTTCCAGTAGCACCTTAGAGACCAACTAAGTGTTATTGGTATGGCTTTCGTGTGCATGCATACGAAAGCCATACCAATAACAAACTAGTTGGTCTCTAAGGTGCTACTGGAAGGAATTTTTATTTTGTTTCGACTTTTAGTGGGATTCCTTTTTGTGATCTTATCAAGTGTTGTGTTCATTCCTTTTTGTTGTCTGCATTTTAAACTTTTGAAATTAATTTCATGTAAAAAAACCCCAGAGAGGTTCAGATCATATTCTTGGGATCATATTTTTGAATGAGGCAATTTATACTTTTCAAACATTCCATAAGTGCTGGAAATATAAATGGATAGTTTTACTAGCATTTTGCTTTGTAGCATCATAGATGAACCTAATCTGTACTCCAGAATCACAGGTTAGTCCTCACTCGCCTGGAGGCTCCTGGGCCACCTCCAGACCAAGAATCCTTCCCACTCACAGCCTGCAGGGCTGCTATAAATATTTACCCAAGGAGGAGGCTGCGTCTGCTGGGCTGCCAGGGATGGGGGACGCTGCAGGGCTCTGATTCCTTGGATTTTTCCATGAAAGTTTAAACATAACCAGCAACTCCGCTCTAAATCTTTCAGCAACAACCTTTGCATTCTTCATTCCCCCCCCGCCCCCCATCATTCATCTGCCCCTTCTCCTCCATTACTGAAACCTTTTCCTGATTTTATTTTATTTTCATTTCATGCTGACGGCACCTAGATGCCCATTTACTATTGCCACGCTTGAAGCTTATAAAAAAAATCTTAGCAAAAGCCAAGCCTGGCTACTGAGAAATACTGCTGCTCGGCTGTTCCACAATCCTGCTGTGACCATGTTGATCCTATTCTCATTTCTTGTTCACTTGCATCCAGAAGTTAAGCACAGACTGGGATGGCCTACCTAGCAGGGATGATGTAGTCTTGGATTTCCTGCACTGCCAGGTGGTTGGACTAGATAACCCTTGAGGTCCCTTCCAACTCTATGGTGCCAAGTGGGGTGGGAGGGGTGGAGAGTTTCCTATGAGGGTCCATTGTTGGAAACAGGGTTGAGAAAGTGCATCAAAACCAAGCCCACAAATCTCAGGAGCAGGAAGGGTGGATGGTAGAAGGGGGCTTCATTTACACCCTGCCTTTTTGTTTGATCCTGACCCACAAGGGGAGTGAGCAGAAACAGAGCAGCTCAACACAGCGACAACAGTTAGGGCTTTAACACTCTGTGTTGGAGCATTTATTTTGCCTCAGAACTTTCCCCACGAAAACCCGCTCTCTAGTGCTCAGTCAGAGCAAATGTCAGTTGGGGTTTTCTTTGGATTGCCGTTTGCTCCAATTGAGCTGTAAAGAGTGGGTTGGGGGGGAGGCAGTAGATCAAAAAGGGTGTGTGTGTTTGGACACAGAGCATTAAATTGTGGGCCATGCCTGCAAAGAGCGGAGGGAAGGGAAGTGTGGATAAGCCCCAAGTTCAAATAAACCAGCAGCAGAATAAACTACCTAAACCATGTGAAAACCAAACAGGGATCCAAGAACCAGCAGGGACCTCCGCTGCCTGACCTTGCATCGCCACCCTGGGTCAGAGTGCCAAGGCGTGTCGGGGCCCCTCCTGAGAGCACCAGGCTCCTTGCTGCCAGCCTGGCCTCTGAGGGCAGAATCACCAGAGGGAAAGCAGACAGAAGGAGTGCCCGGCAGTGCTGGATCAGGCCAAGGGGGCCCACCTCCCACTGGCACCCTGGTGCCCAACAGGAAGCATAGCAGTGAGAGAAAAGAGCACCCTCAGGAGGATGAAGACGACGATGGTGCCCTCTTGTGTTGTCTCTCTTCTAAGCCATAAACCGGTACCTGTGCAATGTTCAGAAGTCCAAAAACAGCCAAAGCATTTGTGTCTGGGTGGACCATGATGGCGTGGGCGGGCACCTGTCCCCAGTGACAGTGGGCAAACTGGCTAACTTCCGCACGGGCACCATTTGGGCACAAGAGCTGGAAATCCCCCGAGCGCAGCTGGGAGGCCCAGGAGCCCGTGTTGTTCCCTGGAAGGACAAGAGTGCTCAGAGAGTGGTTTCAAGGAGAGGGAGGGAGGGATTATGAAAGACAGGAGTGGGCAACCTACCATCTGTGTTTTCAAAGACTGTGGAGTGCTTGACAAAGGCCACATCGCCCTTACCCTCAGCTAAACACCTGCAAAGAACACCAAGAGGTTGACCTGTGAAGCAGGTGGCAGAAGGACCTCCAGCAGCAGCAAAGCAAGGCATGGGGACACCCCCCCCCCCGCAGGTGGAATGGCCAGCGGCAGCCAGGAGCTTTGGCTGGTGTGAACAGCTTCCGTGGTTGGTTTTGTGGTTGTGGGCTGAGAGGAACCAAGTACATCCCCCCTTTTTCTGTACTGAAAACACCCTTCCCTGCTGCAATCAGTGCCATCTGACTTAGACAACCCATGCGCCGCTCTGTCTCAGGGAATGCCCCATGCTCACACCCCAAGAGTCTCTCCCCAGAGCCTTCCGGGTGGCAAGCAAGAGGAAAGACCCCCTCCGGTCTCCTGCCAGGCACTTGAGGCTCAGGCCAGCTGGCACCCCCCTGCCAGTCCCCGTTACCTGAAGGCTCCAGCGTGGCCATAATAACGTTCTTGGCGGCTGGCATTGCACTTGTATTGGCCCCTGAGGTCCCCAATGCAGAGCTCACACAGGCTGCCCAGGTAGCCGTCTCCCGGGGCCCCCGGAACGCAGCTGCCAGAGAAGAAGGTGCTCACCGCTGGAACGAGAGGAGGAGGGCGAAGCCGGGCATGAGCCCATGAGGGTGTGGTTCAGCAAGGCCCAGGAACAGCTGGGCACTCGGAACGAGGGACTTGGAAGGGGCCCAGCCCTGCCTGGATGCATGAGGCTTCATCAGGTCCCGGATGAACCAGGATGAGGGCAGAGCTTTGGGCCAAACTCTGACTCACCTGAGAGGCTGGTGGGCCACAGCTCAAGGGCAGAGTCCCTGCTAGGCATGCAGAAGGTCCCTGGCACAACCCCAGGCAGCGCCAGAGAAGGCTCCCTGCCTGAGACCAGGAGTGGACTAGATGACCCCAGGGCTCCCTTCCAACTCTACGATGCTGTGAGACTCCCGAGGGCGAGTTCTCTTGTCAGCACAGGCAAGACTGAGGGGGGGGATCACTGGCCTGCTTCAGTATCAGGTGGCGCCTCTGCTGGGCCAGAGGGTGCCTCAGCAGCTGCCTTACCTGGCCTGGTGGTGGTGATCCCATGACCCCCCCCCTGAGGGGGGCAGCCACATGCAGGAGCTGGGAGAAAGGCAGGGGGAGAAGGGGGGTCAAGGGCCCCTCCACCCATTGCTCCCCCTTCTCTCTCTCTCTCCAGCAGAGGTCTGTGTATGCCCTCCATGTCTCCTTTGGCCCCAAAGGGTCAACCCAGAGTCCCAAACAGCAGCCCCCTCCTGCCCCCCTACCTTTGGGGATGTTGCAGTCCTGAGGACGAATGAACCCCTTCTTCAGCAAGAGGCCAATGGGCATCTTCCACCCAGCCATTGTCCCATAACCTGCGTGGCAGGACCTCCTTCCTTGCAGCTCGTAGATGGTGAAGGCGTCATCGGCCACCCGCCTCACAAGGGCCACTGCGTAGTAGGTGCTGGTGGTGTCCTCGTCTGGGGGGGGGCGGGAAGCACAAAAGAAACCCTGAGCCCCCTCTGCCCCCTCCTTTAGCTGTTTAAAAGGGGGTCTCTAAAAAAGAGCAGCATTTTGGACAATGGCTTGAAATGAAGGGGTCAGGAAAGACAAGGGGCACCATAGAGGCACAGGGATCATTTCTGTTTACACAGCGGAGGGTCGCCCCCCGCCCCCCCGAGACACACATGCTTCCCTCCTTGGGTCCTCCTTGTTCAATGACTGTTGTCTTAGAGGAAAGAGGAAGAGCTGGGCAAAGACTGGCAGCCAAAGTGCCCCTCCAAGGCACAGTATGAGACTGGCAAGGCAAGCCCCTGCCCCAGTCGGGGTTACAGGTGGGCAACGTGTGCCCCCCCCAGCTCTTGAAGGACTCCTTTCTTGTCCTCCCTGGCCAAACCTTCTGGGGCCAGCGTGACCCAGGAACCTGACAGGTTGCCCACAACTGTCCTCAGGGGAGCCCAGCCCCAGCACAAAGGCCAGAAGGAAGCCCTCGGCTTGTGAGCCCCACGGGGCAAGAGAGCAAGGGGGACAGGAGTGCGGTGGGTCTCCTGTCTCCTTGAAGATCAGCACTTGAGCACAGTCTGAGCCAGAAATCTGAGGCCTCCAGGCTCTTTGCGTCTTTGCTGCCAATCACCAATTGCCCCACGGACCTTTGCACTTGGGGACTCCTCCTGGAGGCCTGGAAAGGTCCTTAGAGAATCCCTTGGTTCAGCTCTGTGGTGCCCAGCTGGGCGGTGGCCACGTTTGTGGGCACTGAGTCGCCAGCCAGTCGGCCACAAAGCAGCTTGCACACAAGAGGCCTTCAGTCCTGCCAGCCTCCTCACCTGCGTAATGCTCGCCAGCAGCTGGCACCAGGCCGTATGTCTCCCCAGCCGTGTAAATATCCTCTCCGGCCAGAGACACAACGTCAATGTCTCTGTTCTGAAAGGAAATCAAAACATCCTTTTAAGACCCGGCTGAGTCACGTGGGGGGGGGGAGAGCGGAGGTGCCTGCCTGCCCCTTCGCCTGTCCCTAAATGGCCCCCATCTGCACTGTCCTGTCTTGCTCACAGGTCACAGAAGGAAATGGATGCAGAGGGGCAGGCTGAGACCCAAAGGGGGTGGGCAAGGAGAAGCCAGTGCAGCCAGCCCTCCTGTAGCCTGGTGGTCTGTTCCCCGCCAGATACGTGACACCCAACCAGCCCTCTAACCCATCTGGGCATGGCTGCCTGATAGCTTTGCTTCGGCTTAGTCCATGCCCAGATGCTCGCATCCCTCTGCTTCACTCCATCTCCACTGCCCTTGGGCTAAGGAGGGCTCCCTGAGCGCAAGCCATGAATTCCAGAGTCCCAGTCTGAAATCACATGCTGGGAAGAGCTTCAAGAGGGTAAAGAGCCATTCAACGGTGGACAGTGGACTTCCTCAGAAGGTGGTGTTAGGAGCAGAGGTTGGATGGCCATTAGTTGTGGATGCTCTGAGCTGAGATTCCTGCACTGAAGGGGGGGGACTACAGGTCCCTCAGGGGTCCCTACAATTCTAGGATTCTCAGTGCCCAAAGGACCACCTCAGTGCCCATGCAACTCTGCCAGGCTGTGAAGGCAAGACTAGCCAAAGGCTCTTCTCTGGACGCCAATGACCCCCCCCCCAGACCTCCACCCTGGGATTCATTGATGGTGATGCTCTGGGCTTCACATGCTGTTTTGACCCAACGTCTTTTATTGGTTCTGACAGGTGCAGGTTTTGTGATTTTTTTTAACGTCGTCGTTTGGCTGCTTGTCATTATTTTGAATGAATAAGGCAAAGGGCCAGCATGGCTTCCTTTAGTAGCTCTGGTGCTCCTGGTGAGGTGAGAGGCATTTGCACCTGGGGGGATGTGCTTGGGAGGCTGTGCGTCCAAATGGCCCCAACCCCCAATGGAAGAGGAGCGGGGAGGAGAAGAAAGGCCCTGACTGCCCCAACTGCTTCAGGGCTGCTGCAAACTCTCTCAGCCAAGGCACCGATTCTGCTGTGTCCAGAATGGATGGCTCCCCCTGCCTGCCCCCCACGGCCAGAACAAACTCTTGGCTCCCATGGCCTGGGGGGGGGATTAAGCCCCATCCATCACCAAGGGCAGGAAGAGGGAGCTGTTGCAGCTCCCCTGCCCAGCCAGGGCCACAGGGAGAGAAGAGCAGAAGGATCCTGGCGGAGGATCCTGGGCAGCTGCCTCCCCTTCCCAGCACTGTCTGCCCTGAATGGCAGACATGGCTCTCCCGGGATTTGGGGCGAGGCCCTCCCACAGCCCCACCTGGAGTTGCCCTCCGGGATGAAGCTGCATGCAGAGCCCTGAGCTGCTGCCCGTCCCCTTCTGACCATTTCCCAGCCCCCGGCACCCCCACTTCTCCCTCCTGCCTCTTCTCTCCTTGGGGCAGTGCCTCTCTCTTTTATTCCATCTCTCTGTCTCTCCACCCGCCTCTCAGTTGCCCTGAGCTGCTTGGGAGACAATATTTGCCTGGGAAGCAGAATGAAATAGAGAAAAGAGACACAATAGAACACTACCACCCCATGCCAGGTATTCTCATGCAGCCTGGTCAAACAGCCTGCTGCCTGGCAAGGACCCTGGGATGAGACCCCTCCCCATCTCCCTGATGGCCCCCTGAGGTCTGCCCAGGTGCCCCTGGGCCCTGCCAGCAGAGGGCAGCAGCAGCCCCCCCCAGGCTAACCCATCACGCTGGGCACCACACCTGGATGCGCTCCATGCACTGCTCAGGACTCTCTGCCGAAACACACTGCAGCTCCGGCTTCAGCTGCTTCTCCTCGAAGGCCGTGGCCATCTGGCTGCATTTCCAGATCTCCTCTGTAGACAAGACGCACCAGCGCAGGAAGGGAGGCAGCCCTGTAGCCCCAGAAAAAAGAGCGGCTGAGAACATGGCCCAAGGCCCACGGCAGGCCCAGCTCCCAGGCAAGCAAGCAGTGGGTCAGCAAATCCCACGCTGAGGGTGGCATGACTGAGATCCTGGGGGTCCTTGTGCAAAGACACTGAGAAGAAACTCGGTGCCTGCCATGAGGGGGGAAAGAACACCAAGCTGCAAGTGCACTCTTCTCAGAAAGGCTGCCATCAGGCAGGTGAGATGTTGTGGGACTCATCAGAAACACCTGGAGGGCCACAGGTTAAGGAGAGCAGAATGGGGGGGTCAGAGCACCTGGAAACAGATCAAGGCCCTGGAGCACATGGACCTTGGGCGGGAAAGGTTCAGGAAAGCACCACCAAAACGGTCAGGGGGTGCCGCCCCTCCCTTACGAGGGAAGATTGCAGTGCTGGGGACTTCTCTAAAAAGTCCCAGAGGCAAGGAAGAAGCCGCATGATAGAAGTTTATAAAATTCTGCCTGGCATTGAGCAAGTGGAGAGAGAGACAGTTTCCTCCCTCTCTCCTAACACTAGAATTGGTGGACCCCGCCTGAAGCTGAACATTGGAAGGCTCCGGACAGATAAGAGGAAGCCCTTCTTCAGGCAGCACAGAATTCCCCTGTGGAACTCCCTCCCGCAGGAGGCAGCTCTCACCACGAAGCCTCCTTGACCACAGACACCCAGGCTAGTTTGCCTGCCCCGCCCCATTGCTGACCCTCTGCCCAGCCCTGGTGGCTCTTTCTCTCCCACCCAACTCCCAGGGCGTCCCCTCCACCCAGGGGCTGATTCTGAGATAAAGGAGCCACCACTCTTCCCTAGAGAGACAACCCCCAGATGCCCCATACTTGTAGGGTCACAGTCCAGTCCCCGCACGACATGCATGTACTCTTCCCCCAGCCAGGCCTGGTAGGACTGCCCCACAATGGGAACCAGCTCCATGGTGGAGTCTTTGAAGAGAAGATTCTTTCCATCATAGGCTGAAGAGTCAAACATCTGGAAATCAGCACCTTCGGTGTTAAACCTTTGCTGCAACAATGACAGAAAAGGAAGTCCTGGTTAGGAAACTTGGCTCTTCTCAACAGCACAATCTCCCCCAAGTCTGCAATTGAGGGAGAAGAGCCCAGAGCAGCTCAGCATCCGGCCTTCCTCTCCATCTCTGCAGAGCAGGTGACATTGGGGAGATGGAGCAGGCCGTGGGGGTGGGGTGGGCACCCCTCATCTCCAGTCAGGCCAGCAGCTGAAGCAGAGGCTGGCCGGGGAGGGGGCCGGGGAGCCAGAGGGACCCACCTGCCCCTGGCTGAGCAGCTGGAAGATGAGGCTGGCATTCGCGTCCTCCCTGGCCACCACGGCGTGCGCAGGGACACGGGCCAAGTGGCAGGACCTCCACTCCGTCACGGCCGCTCTGCTGCCATCCCGGCAAAGGAGCTGGAAGTCCGTGGCCTGAAGCCCCGGCAGGACCCACGAGGGGGGAGCTTGGCCTGGAAGACAGAGCAGAGCACAGGCAGTGACCCACACAGGCCGGGGACAGCTCCCCTCCCCGCTCAGTCCGCCTGCAAACCAGGACTCCCATGGGCACCACTGAAAGGGAGACCACAGGAAACTGCGCCAAGCTGAGCAGTTTTGTCACTGTTCTTGCTTCATGCCTTTGCGTTCCATTTATTTCAAAAACTGCCCCAGGAGAACCATTAGCAGAAAGGCCCTTGTGCCTTCCCCAGGTGAGGTTTCCCTTCTCACCTAGAGAAGCAGAGGGAATAACTCCCTCCTGACCCATAAATCCAGTGTTGATGAAAGAAGAATTCCACTTCTGGAAAGGGAGGTAGTGCCCCCTCTTGGGTCCCTCTCCCAGCACCTGGCACATGCCTGAATCTTCACCCAAGAGGCCACCGGCTCCCCCTGGCAGAAGCGGCGCAGGCTGACTCACCCTCAGTGGCTTCGGCGACTGTGCTGTGCTTCACAAAGGCCACCTCCCCTGCTCCGTCCACCAGGCACCTGAGGGGAAACCGAGGCACAGTCAAGGCCCCACAATGGCTGCAGAAGCACAGCGTGGTGAGAAGCTTTTGGTCGCTGCTCCCAGGAGGACCCTGAGTGAGGATCCTGCCCCAAGCCTGCCTCCGCCTCTGCCTGCCCCACTGCCTCAGCCCTAAACAAGTGGGGCAAGAAGTCAGAGACGCCCGTTTGCAGGGGAGCAGAGTGCATAGGGGAGTGTCAGCCTGAGCTTCTCCTATGGTTTATTACTGTAGATCATCAGGACATGAGTTGGAAAGTTGGCATAACTTAATATGGCAGGATATCCCCATTATGAACTTTCTTGACCCTGGTACTAGTCTGATCTCAAAGACATGTCCTGGAAGACATTGAAGAGCATATGTAAATCTAAGGTAAAGGTAAAGGTACCCCTGCCCATACGGGCCAGTCTTGACAGACTCTGGGGTTGCGCGCCCATCTCACTCAAGAGGCCGGGGGCCAGCGCTGTCTGGAGACACTTCCGGGTCACGTGGCCAGCGTGACAAGCTGCATCTGGCGAGCCAGCGCAGCACACGGAACGCCGTTTACCTTCCTGCTAGTAAGCGGTCCCTATTTATCTACTTGCACCTGGGGGTGCTTTCGAACTGCTAGGTTGGCAGGCGCTGGGACCAAGCAACGGGAGCGCACCCCGCCGCGGGAATTCGAACCGCCGACCTTTTGATCGGCAAGCCCTAGGCGCTGAGGCTTTTACCCACAGCGCCACCTGCGTCCCTATGTAAATCTAGCCACCATTAAAAACTAATCAACACCTTGTTATGGAAATAACAGGGGGGGTGCACATCTTTAAAGTTAAATGTTACAAATATTATGCCTGAATGTTTCCTTTCAACTTGACCGCTCAGGGAAGTTACCGTATTTTTCGCTCCATAGGGCGCACCTAGTTTTTAGGGGGGAAATCAAGAAAAAAAATCTTATTTCCCCCCAGCCCCAAAGAGCAGCGTACAGGCTGCGTGCAACTTCTCCCTGCCGGGAGAGGCTGCGCAGGGCTAAAGAAGCCATAGCCCCGTGCAGCCTCTCCCTGCCGGAGGGGTTGCGCGCGGCTATGGCACAAGCCAAGGCAGCCATTGGGATGGATCCCACTCACTGTTTTGGCTTCCTCTTTAGCCCCGTGCAGCCTCTCCCTGCCGGAGGGGCTGCGTGCGGCTATCCCTGAAGCCTGGAGAGCGAGAAGCCTGGAGAGCGCACCGACCCCTCTCGCTCTCCAGGCTTCAGCAAAAGCAACGCAAAGCCTTTGGAGCGCGGAGGGAGCACTCCCTCTGCGCTTCGGAGGCTTAGCGTTGCTATCGCTGAAGCCAAGGAGCCTGCATTCGCTCCACAGGATGCACACACATTTCCCCTCAATTTTTGGAGGGGAAAAAGTGCGTCCTATAGAGCAAAAAATACAGTACCTAGCTTTAAAAATAATATAAAATCAACTCCCTTGCCAGTTTCCTCCATTCCAAAGCTATTTTCCCCTTGAAAAAGGACTCCAGGAAGTTCCCAGAGGTGACAATTGCTGAGCTGATTGTTGGCCAAGGAAAGCCTAATTCCATCACCAGATTTGCCAAGGGGCCAGACATGCAAAGGAAGTTCTATTGCACTTTGGGTGGTGGGACTTCAGAGGTGTTTGCCTGTGCTAATCTTATACCTGAGTCTTGCCCTGCCATGTCTGCTTATGCTAATCTTGCACCAAGGACTTGTCTGGAGATGTTTGCCAAGGTTAAACTAGTGTAACCCCTGTCTATCCCTCCCCTTTGGTGACATGTCAGTGATGTAGCAATGATGCTGTGTGAACTGTATTCTGGGATATGGTGGGAAAGTTTTAAAAGTCCTTGTCACCCCATCCTCAGGGTTCAAATTTCCTCTTTGAATCTGTTGCGCAATAAACTTTGGTCTACAGCTATTTCCTCCGGTTGGTGGCTGGACTCCTTCCTTTATTCCGCAGGGACCTGCGGACTCTGCCCGACCAGCTGGGGGACTGAGCAGCCTCGCACCTAGATTTTTCCGTAACAACCTGAATGATTGCCACTTTAGCGCAGGGTAGGGTTTGCTGCCTGCTTCAATTGTAGTGTTGCTGCCTGAAGAAGCAGCATTGATATATTCTGTTACTTCCATGTCATATAATAAGCCAAGCTTTCTTTATTCCTCAGCATTCATAGATTTCCAGGGAAATGGGCCCCACTCTCTTGTCGCCCAAAGGTACCTGAAGGCGCCCATATAGTCGTAATATTCCTCGTTGGGGCTCAGCTCACATTTCCCCCGGCCGGTCCCGTCTCCTCTGCAGAGCGCACAGAGGTTAGCTGGGTAGCCGTTTCTGCTGGCTCCAGGGACACAGCTGGCACTGAAATAGTTGCCCACGGCTGGAAGAGAAGGAGGAGTGAGGGGCTGGACCCACAAGCCAGGCCGGAGCAGCCCCCGCTGCCACTCCTGGCCCCAGGGGAGAAAGCAGCTGGAGAAGCAGCCTTGCTGGGCTCAGGTCAAGGCTGGAAGGAGCTCTGAACACAAGGAGGGACAGTCCTCCCTCTGGCCAAGAGAGCCCCCCTGGCCCAGCTCAAGGGACACACCTGTGCGGCTCACAGCCAGCCAAGGAGCCACAAAGCCCCACATGCACACACAACCCCCGTTTCCCTCTGTGCTGAGCGCAAACCAATGCTGGGGAGTGAGAGTCCTCTTCTGTGTGTGTGCGCAACTGAGTACATCAGGACCCAGCATGTTCAGGGCTCTGCAGGTGATGCTGTGTGCCTTCCCGACCCCAACACACACACACACACACACACACACACACACACACAAACTGTGGGGTGGGAAGAGAACCCTCTCTCTCTGGGACTTTTGCAAAGCAAAGCAAGGCTCTGGACTTGGCAGTTGCAGAGAACATGGTCAAATTCTGCACACAAAAACCTCCTTTGGCAGGACATGGGCGTGTTCCTGTGCCAGCTGCAACCCAACCACAACCCCAGTCCAGAATATTGCATAAATGTACGGACATCTGCGCAACTGCTCAGAGGAGCAGTTTGACTCTCTGCAATTCAGAAGCTGGTGGCACGTCCTCAACCAGCCCTTTGCAGGCAGGCCTCACCTGCAGCTACCTCGCAGCCCATCACCGGCATCCGGCCGCTGTCGCGAAGAAAGCCAATGGGGACGTTCCAGCCGGCTGTCCTGTTGATGCCCGTGTGGCACGACCTGGTTCTCAGCAAGCTGTCGATAGTCAAGCTGGAGTTGGCTCTCACCACAGCCACTGCATAGTAGGATGTGCCAACATCTGCACAGGGATAGTGGGAAGGGGGCCTGTCAGTCTGAGGAAGGCCTTGGACCTCCAGGGCCTCAGCAGGATGGCACCCTGGATGCCACTGGAGCCCTGTCCAGTCAGCATGGGTTTTCATGCACACAGTCACTTGGCTGTTCCCCACATTTGAACCGTGCTCAGTGCTTGACTTGGCCTGCTGGAATCAATTGCTGCTGCAACTGGGAAGAGCCGTTGCCCAGGTGGGCAGTGAGTGAACTGGATTTGGCTCAGAGATCCTGCCTCCCAGTGCTGGCCTTGCTGGACGGAACTGGCCAAGTCACTTTCTCCACTGCGTTCCTCCACACCAAATGAAAACACCAGTGCTTCTCTTTCCACGTGGGTGCTGTGAGGCTGGATGCAAGGAAGATGGCTGTGCATACAGATTATGTGGCACTGATCTTCCCCCCAGCACCCATGCGTTATCAGCAGAAAAGGCATTTGTGGCACACAAGTGGAGCAGCTGCTGGGTCCTGCCTGAACAGAGGGACGGATGCTGGCAACAACTCACTTACCTTGGCCATAGGCTTCTCCCACCACTGGCTTCAGGTTGTATTCCTTCCCAGCCTGATAAATGGTGCCGCCATCCACGGCTGCCACATCCGCCACACTTGCCTGTCAAGGAAATGGGAGGGCATTTTAGGTACCTGCTTGGCAGCCCCTTAGGAGGGGAGGGAGTGGCAGGCTCATGCCAAGAGACCCCTCGGCCCAGCCCAGCCTCCCTCCTTCAAGATTTTGGTAAGCGGGTAGCCATTTCCACCAGGCTTCCTCAAAGCCACCAGCCCCCAAGTTTCCCTGGGGTCTCACTGAAGCCTCTGAAGGTAGTGTGAAGGTAGAGTGTTAAAAATAAGCTGAGACCACACAGTGGTCATGAAACAAGAAAAGAGTTTACTAAAGTGGAAAAAATATGGATTTTTAAGAAAAAGAGGTGCAGCGTGTTTCCCTTTGGAGACAAATAGCAAAAGAGAACCAATGAAAATGCCCCCCACTTTCCCTGGGCTAAACATTCCCTCAGCTCAGCAGGCTCTCTGGGGAATCCTGCTCTCGAGTAGCAACACTTGGTTTGCCAATCCTGCAGCTCACTAAGGTTTTCCTTCTCTCTCATGCGGAGTTCCACCTTGAACTGCCCAACTGCCAGGATGACGACATCTGGATGCAACCCCCCACCCCCATAATAATGCTGTCAGTCACAGGCTCAGCCCAGTGGGATACAGAAAGCCAGAGAGCCACATCCACAATGGGGTTTCACCGCCTTGACCTATAATCCCCAAGGAACCACCAAGGAAGGTACGTCACAGGCAGCAAGATATGTCTGCCCATATCTCACACATCTGCACAACAGCCCTGGCTAGCAAAGTTCAGTTCCTGGCCAGAAGGAGCTGCCTTCCTCCTGATGGCTGATCCCAGATCCTGCCCACCTCATAGCCATTTAACAACAGGGTGAATACCTTTTTACTGCCTGAGAAAGAAGAGACTCTACACCCGAGGGGACAGGCAGGGCCAGAACTTCCATCCAGTTATAGCCAGAAATGTTGCCTCCCCTCCCCAACCCCAGACCCAAGCAAGTTAGACTTACATTGATCATTGATATGCAGTCGCTGGCTGAGACACCTCTCACACAAGACAGCAGGGGTCGAATGTTGGCCCTGAAGAAGGCTTTGCTCATGTCGCTGCACTTGGCAAGCTCTTTGTCAGAGACTGTGCACCAATTCAGCTGGTCCAAGGCAAAGACTGAAAAGCACACACATGCCAAGTGAGACAGGGAGGAACTGCTGGGGATGAGCATCTGATCAGGGCCTGTTTGTGTCCCTGGGGAAGGTCCCAAAGTCCTGTAGGACATCATTATTATTATTATTATTATTATTATTATTATTATTATTATTATTATTATTATTATTATTTTACTCCGCCCATCTTGCTGGGTTTCCCCAGCCACTCTGGGCGGCTTCCAACAGAATATTAAAACAGTATAAAACATCAAATGTTAAAAACTTCCCTAAACAGGGCTGCCCTCCTCTTGCTAACTTCAGCAGCTGACATCCAATGGCACAAGGCGTCCCACAGGGAAGAGAGAACCCAGCCATCGGGGTCGGAAGCCACGGACAGCCTTCTCCTCCAGGAATGTGCTTCTCTGTCTCAAAGGGTGTCATTTCCACTTGTCCATCTAGCCATGAGGGGCTGTGCTGGGCCTTCCCAGAAGGGATCTTTTCACCCAGACACAGGGACCCCCGTGAGACAGGAGCCAAGCAGGGCCTATTGTTCAGCTTGGCCCGTGTCACCTGGGGGCAGAGGGGTGGAGCAGGACCCTCAGGGGCTGTATCCTCTGGAGGGCTTTGCTGCTGCCGCCCAGGGGCACAGACCCACTCCCACCCTTTGCTTCTGAAATGGCTTCCTCAGTCAATTTCATGTGGTGAATATGGATGGCAATTTACCACCCAAGGTCACTTGCTAAGCCTCCAACTTTCCTCCTGATGTGGCAAATCCCAGGTGCCATCATGTGAGGTCGTATTCAGTTGTCCAGCAAGAGAAAATGACCAGCAACATTTCTTCAGGTTCTCTTATGGTAAAAATGATGATAGGAACTTGGCCAAAGTGGTGTTTGCAGGTCGCTCCGTTTCTGTATCTTTCTGTCCCATCTTTGCAGAGAAGACAAAAGCTGAGGCCACCTGGTCCTTGCACAAATGGACCAAAGCTGAGCAAAGCCAAATCATTTAGTTTCTACATACATAATATCTCCTGGCTTTTTCCCTGACAAGATTCAAAGTGGCTCATTTCTCCCAACTCAGCATTGTGTGGAGAACGACAGCTCAGACTGCCACCATATTTCCACAAACAACATTCCCATCAGCAGTATTAAAACTGGGGCCCCAGAGTTGCTGGAGAAGAGCTGGGTGGCCTGGGGCCTTTCTGCCATGGATGGGCAAAGAGGGGACGGACCTTCTTGCCTTTTCCCCTCCTGAAATATCAGTTTTTGCTGCTGCCTTCAGCAGGATGGCTGAACGCATGGCACCTCCTGGCCTCTGTCTATGGCCCAGCAGCCTCAAGTGCTTCTGAAACTCAAAGCTTGTAGCAGAATCTTGTAGTTCAGTACAATTCCCCAAACCACAATTTGCTCTTGTAAGACTCTGCTGAATGAGGGGATGGTCAATATGGGTGGCCTTATGGAGGACTGGAACAGAGAACGCCACACAAGGCAATGGCAATCCACCCTGACAGCTGCAAGGCCCTCTTTGGACCTCAACCTGCGTCTTACCCTCCCTAAGCTTGTTTTCCAGGCATCCTGGACGCCAGCTGCCTCTGTCCAAAGTGCATGGCAGCTGCCCAGAGCGATCAGTAGGATCAGCACTAAACGCACTGCCTGGCCTTGCCCCCGCAGACGCCCTTCCCCATATTAGCCTGATCCTAGAAACATTTCTGAAGTCTTCGGGGGTCCACGCTGCGCCCATTGTATGCCACTGTCCTGGGATTTGCTAGAGGGACAGCGGAGCTGGACCTGCGTGGCTGGTTGGAGGCCAAGTGGCTGACCTGGCAGGACTGAGCAGCTGCCCCAATCACTCTTCTTGGCCAGAGGGCCTCTCTTCCCTGGACACCTAGGGAAGGGCTCCTTTTGTCCAGCAGCATACAGAAAACCAACGTCTGAGATCTGGGACTCCTCTTTGGGACGTCCATGTGGGCTCTGCCAGAATCCACACCCCCTTTGGGAGCCTTCTCTCTTCTTCTTCACTCCTTCTTCACTCCTTCCTTTGATTACATGTCTGGTCTCCTTAATGGTATTATGAATTCAGCTGCTGCTATTTTGTTTCTTAGCTCTTAGTGTTTGGGCTCATTATATGTATTGTTACAAAAATTATTTAAAGATCAACCAACTGTGCATAAAGCAACAAGAGCAGGTTCCTGTCAGTGGCTTTGCAGCTGTAGGACTGGCTGGAACTGCAAAGGCCATTTATTTGGGCTGGGGGCCTGTGGGGGTTTCTGGCCATCTCTGCCCACCCCCACCCCCACCCCCCCAGCCTGCCAAGAAAACGGGTGATGTGGGACGACCATTTCCTCATTTCCTGAGAGAGCTGGTTTTAAACGGACAAGCTCCTGGAAGCCAAAGTCTACCCCAAAGAAGGAAGAACAGCAGCCACTGCCCTGGCGGGTCCTTTGCTCTTTGGACAGGCCCCGCTCCGAGACTCCCACGGCTGAACCAGAAAGGGAAAGTAAGACTCTTGACCCTGACAGGGTGCTCTGCCAAGGAAGAGTGGGATCGGGCCCTTGCCTCACGAGAGAGTACATGAGTTGGTATTCCTATTGGCATTCCTGCCAAATGAACACTTGGGTCATCCTGTTTGGATCTGTGCACCAGCCAGAAGGGCCTGTTCCCTCGCTGGGGTCTGATCCTGCTGGGCCAGAATCTCTGGGGCTGCTCCCTCCCAACTGCCCTGTCGAGGCTAGGAATTGGGCCATGCTTAAGCTAGAGAGAGGCTGTGGAAACCCCAGGAGTGGCAACCAGCCCTAAAAAGCCATGGGGTGCCTAAACCCACCATGGACGGGGGGGTGTCTTCTGGCCCAGGCCCTCCCCCCCACCTCCAGAATTCCCAAGAAGAAACTTCCTTCTCCATGGAATCTGACCCTCAACAGAGAAGAGAGTTTCAGCCTACCAGCTTGAAAGCAGAGCAGAAGGGCAGAAGGACGGGCGACGCTCTTCATGGTGGAGGAAGGGAGCTCTCTGGAAGCTGCTGCTCAGCCTTCTCTTGGATTCCTCGTCTGGAAAAGGAGGCAGGCGATGCCACCCTGCATGTCCCCACCTCCAGGGGGAGGGGGGGAAGACTTTGGATCTGGCAAGGTGAATGACTGCCTTCAAGGAACGCCCCCCCCCACCTGACAGTCAGGGGACAACAGAGCTTACCATTGCTTCACTACCACCTAGTGGCTTAGCCGATTAACAGCCCGTGCAAAGGCATATCCTGGAAGCTGCTGCAGCCTAGTGGACTAGCAAGGGCAGGAGGGGCTCCTGGACCCCTGGGCAGCCTCCTCTTCTGCAGCAGATGCAGACAGAAAAACAGCAGGCGGGATAGGCAGCAGCTACCAACCACCAGATGAGCACCGGGGGTCCCAGACGGAAAGCCAGCCTCTGCTTGGGGGAAATTAAGGCAGGTTTAGCAGGCGGGAAAGTGCGCAGAACAAGAGAAGAGGAAGGAAGTTCAACAGATGGCAGCAGGAATCTCCTCTACCACAAGATCCCAGATAGGTGGGGGGTCCCCCCCACCCTGCCTCTGCTGCTTAAAAGCCTCCAGTGAAGAAGTCCATCACCTTCTGAGACAGAGTCTGCCTCACAGCTGGCACCAGCATGAAGGTCTTTGTGATGCCTAATTCTGTTCCTTGTGGTGTGAACCTGATGGCCCAGATCCTGCCCTCTGGGCAAAAGGAAACAAGCCATTTGGGTGGCTTTCCTGGTGCTCTTAACCATCTCCCCCCTCCCCCCAATTCCTCATAGGACACTTCTTGCCACACCTTCCAGACTGTTGACACTCTTCTTAAACTTCTGTGTTCAGAATTAGACAATCTAGGCGAGGTCTAATCAAAATGAACAAATGGCACCATATGCCTTCTTACAGTCAGGAGACTACACATCCATTAATGCAACCTGGAATTGCATCAGACTTTTTTGCTGCTGCATTGCACTGCTGGCTCTACTCCTGGGTTGCTGATGCTGTGCTTGTGAATCTCACTCTTCCCACCTAAAAAGTAGAACTTTGACTTTCATCCTTGCTTTTAGTATTTTACTCTGAATCTGAATTGCTTTTAATTTTGGGTGGTTGGCAACCTTGGGGGTTATTTTGAAAACTGGAATGTGTATGGGATATTCTTAAAAGGTAAATACAATAGCAGCAGTCAGGGTGGCAGGGACAGGATGTGTCCTGGCGAGCGACACATTCTTCAAGAGGAGGTTTTGGGTGGGGATGAGACAAGGGGGTTGAACCAAAAGTGTGTGTGTGTGTGTGTGTGTGTGTGTTACAGAAGGGGGCGAAGATGGAGCTCCTGGGGGGAGGACCAGGCATGAAGGCAACAGGCAGAGGGAGGGGGGTCAGAGGGCACACATTGGCTATGCTGGGATACAAGGGCAGGGAGATAAAAGAGTCAGTAGCTCAAAAGTCCTCTGGGCTTCTGGAATTTCAGAATCCTGCCTGAGGGAGCAGTAGCTGAAGGCCAGCAGGGACCCTAATCTGCACTCTGGCACTGGGACCAAGTCGCATGGGCCTTTGTTTTGGGGGAAACTGCTGTGGGGAAAAGTTGCATGGGCCACTGTGCCCTGTGCAAGGGAGCAACAGAAGCAGGAGAGGACTGTTGTCCTCATGTGCTGCTTTTGGGCTTCCAGAAAGTGAGATGGTGGCCTAGAGGGGCCCCTTTGGGCAGATCAGGCTACAGAGATCTTCTCTTCACACAAATTTGCAAGTGCAATCTTGAGGCTGGAAGGGATGGCGTCTCCAAATCACCCAAGGGGAAAAGAGCGACTGAAAGGCTCACTTACTCCTCTCTTTCAAAACCAAGCAGCTGCTGTGCCCAATCTCCAGTTAAAGACATGGCTTTTGACATCACAGAAGCAATTTGCCCGATGGGTTTGGAGGTCCAATTGGGACATTCTGCAGATGCGATGGGCGAGGAAACAGGAAGGGGAGCTTCTTCCTCCACTGCATTGCACTGATGAAGTCCTGCTCTAACAGGAACTCCCGTGACTTAATAGGCTGCATCCACAGAAGTCTAGTGTCCTGACCAAGGGAAGTCATAGTCCCACTCTCTTCTGCCTTGGTCAGACCACACCTGGAACACTGTGTCCACTTCTGGGCACCACAATTTAAGAAGGGTATTGACAAGCTGAAAATGTGCAGAGGAGGGAGACGATGATGATCAAGGGTCTAGAAGCCAAGCTTTATGAAGAGTGGTTGAAGGAGCTGGGTATGTTTAGCCAAGAAAAATGGAGACTGAGAGGAGATATGATAGCCATCTTCAAATATCTCAAGAACTGTCACTTGGAAGAGGGAACTAGCTTGTCTCCTCCTGCTCTGGAGTGCAGGACTCAAACCAATGGCTTCAAGTTACAAGAAAGGAGATTCCGATTAAACACTAGGAAAAACTTTCTGACAGTAAGAGCTGTTTTGACAGTGGAACAGTCTCCCTCGGAAGGTGGTGGGCTCTCCTTCCTTGGAGGTTTTTCAGCAGAGCTTGGATGGCCAAATGTCAGGGATGATCTAGTTGGGATTCCTGCATTGCCGGGGGTTGGACTAGATGACCCCGGGGTGTCCCTTCCAACTCCATGATCCTATGACTCGGGCAACTTATGCTGACCTTTGGACTATCAATGTCTCCTGCTGCCTTTTTAAAGGTTTATTCAGAAAATTTATGTTCTGCTTTAGTGTTCAATCGGTCAACAGAGGAAATTTAAAACCAAACTGAGAGATTACAGAATCACAGAACTGTAGCACTGGGAGCGACTCCATGGGTCAGTATCATTCAGTATCATTCCTAGTTTGTTGCTATCTCCAACCATCCACTAAAAAGCTCAGCTCCCTCATTCTCTCTCTCTTGGAGGATCTGAACAGCAGCAGCAGATGGAAGCTCTTTACGAAGGACTCAGACTGCCGGCTGGGGCAATGGAAGGAACCAGAGCTGCGCCTGGCGAGGGGGAGAGGAAAGCTCCTCTTGCTCCCACTTCCACTGAGAAGCGGAGCGCCAGTACAGGGGAACTGCCAGCTCTTCCGGGGCGAAGATGCACGTCCTCCTAGGAGCAAAGAGGAAACCTGAGAGTCGGGAGGGGGAGGGAGCTGGGCAGCTCACAGGGCCGCCATCACGTTGGGCACTGCAAACCCCCTCAAATGCGACAATAAAGCAGTTCTCTCAGGGATCCTGCAAACCAGCTGCAAGCAAAGGAGTTCTGTGTACAGCAACATAAAGAAATTCCCACAGTACAACTTTAGTTAAAGAAAGTTTAATATATATATATATATATATTTGTATGTATATAATATGTTTTATTATAACAAAATAGGCAGTTATTGTGGGTAAAATATTCATTAAAATCTGACTTCTAAGAACATATTTATATTTCAGACTCTGAATCGTCTCTTATGATAATCTTTCAGAATATTTTCAGAACAAAATTAATCATTCCTATATGAAGTACAAGCTTTTAAAGCACCTAAACTGTATTTGGATTCAAAAATGTAATGACCGTTACCCATTGATGATATCAGTAAGACACTCCAAATAGTCTTGTGTGTGCTAGTTTAAAAACAGGAGATATTCTTGCCCCCAACAACGGCATCAGCAAAAAATGAAAAAATAGACTATAAAGAATATTCTTATGAAATTATGAAAATGGGTTTTCCCTTGTGAAATAATGGCAACTCCATTTACATTATCTTGGACATTTGAACAAAAATCTCCTGTTTAACTGCCTGTAAAATAAATGTGTTGCCAACAACAGAAAACTACAGAACTACGGCCTGCAGCCACCCCGTGAATCAAATCATGCAGGTCAAGTCACGCGTGCAAAACTGCTCACCATTTACATCATTAAGACCACTTTTCTTTTGTTAGGAAATATTTAAAAGGGTGTATATAAAGATTTGTTTTCTCAAAATCTCTGAAGGATACTTTCCCTTAAACATTAAGGAGTTTTACCACAAAATTCTCCGTTTCGTATCCACACAAGCGGATCGAGCCACTGCCCTTTGACCCTTGAGAAAATGGCTGCCCGCCAGCAGCTTGTGAGAATCCACATCATCGGAACAAAAGGGGGGCACTGGGGAAATGCTACGGGAGCCACGTTGGCCCATGCAGGACAAGGGCTGCCCCCAGGTGGGAAGCAGGGGAGGGGGGAGGCACAGGGGCCCCCGCTGGGCGGCCTTCAGAGCTTCTCCTTGGCGGGGACCCAGATGTAGGGGCTGGAGTGCTCCTCAATGACTTGCTTGACTTGGTTGTAGATTTCTTCCAATGTGTCTCCTTGCACAATAGCTGTAGAGGAGAGAAGAAGGAAGAGGAGGAGGAGGAGGAGGAGGCGGCTCTTGAGGGCCTGGACTGGCACAGCTCTTGCACCACTCCCCCCAGCACTGAAACCCCCCAGCCGCTGCCTTGAAAGGAACACAGCTGAGCAACCAACCTGTGAAATGTTCGGTGAATTCTTGCTCCAGCTTCATGGCTCTCTCAAAGGTCTTCCGAGCTTGCTCATCCGTCAGCCGCTTATTCATTTCCCTGAAATTGCAGCACAAATCAAACCAAGATACTGATGACGAGGCTCAGCCTTTTGGATGTGATGTTTAAAATGAAGCACCTTCCTGCAACCCCTGGAGGGCACCACGTTGGCGACTCCTGAGCTACCCTCAAGCAGCAGCTCGGGAGCAGCAGAGTCGCTCTGCTCTTCTCCAGAAGGCAGAGCCAAAAACCAGAAGAAGGAAGGACAGACATTTTGCTTTTAAAGTTTGGCCCTGTCTTCTTCCTGCAGAGGACTGAACCTTTGCTGGCTGTTTTTTTTCTCCTGCTGAAAATGGCAGGATATTATGGGTTGTGGAATACACCCAGCCCCCAGGGAAAGCTCCCTTCCCGGAGTCTGTGGCTGACGACCTTCCTGGAAGAGGAGCCACATGCCGCAAGGAGGGTCACCAGAACATGCGCAGAGAGGAAAAGGTCGGAGGGGCAGGACAAGGCCAGCGCTCACTCACATGATGTTCTCCACTGATTTGGGTTTGATGAAAACGGAGATTGGGTGCAACTGGGCGATTTGGAGCCTCTTGATTGCGTTTCCGGAGACATCGAGAATGCAGTGCTTCCCCTGAGACACGGAGGGAAGAGGCATCTTAGAGCAGAACATCCAAGGCATCGCTGCTGGCAGACAGCTCAGCCAAGCCTGTCTGCATTTTAAAGCCCGGCGGCTGAGACTGAGCGCCCTTCCCCCTTCGTTTAGCTATTTGCAGACATTCCCTGGAAAGCCATTTTCTTGGGGTTGAG